ATTGCAGGGCAGAGCGAGATGTAGAGAGCTCGAGCAAGGATAAGCGGAAGCACCTCCCCAATAGCTACCGATCGAACGTCGCCCAACTAGGCTTGGAAAGCCCAACTAGGTTGGATGCGGCGAGCTAGGGCCGAGCTCGCTCAGAGACTTGTTCCGCCACCCATTGGTTGAACACTTCCAGCAGGTGGGAAATGCAGGAAGGTTATGTGAGGAAGGTGTCGTGTAGATGCTCCGTGACCCACCCTGATCGCCCCGCAGCTGAAGCTCGAGCAGCTGTATGGATAGCTCTGGCCAATATGTCAGTCGTGATTATAGACCGTTGAGGAGCATCGACGGTGAAATCACGGACCCACTCCGGTACCTCGCCAGCGCTAGTAGGGTGCTTCTCTCGCAGCGACTACACCATGGCCTCAGATGGCCGGACCAACTCCTCTGCCGGCAGACAAGCCAACCCACGGCTCCACTCTCCCGTTTTACACCGAGATCGGCACCGTGACAGGCAGATGACATCGGGGTCCTGGTCAGAGCAAGTGTAGGCAAGTGGGCGAACTGCTGGCCGCGCCGCCACATTGGCGGAGTCGAACAACTCCCGCCACCTCCCTTCCCATAACGCCCCCAGACGCTCTATGAGGCATGGAAACGCCAAGAATAGGAGGGTAGCGACTTCATCCCCCGGTTGGCTTTTTAAACGCTTTAAAATGCAACGGAGCGCGTGTAAGACTCCCGACCGGGCCCGGTGTGGGATCCGGCGAACTGTTCTCCCTCCTGTCAGAATATGTTCTTTGTCTAGCCTGCAGTGGGGTACTCAATAGTGAGTACAACCCTTTAGGGTTTCCTATTTGTACCAACCTGCTTGTTAGTGCAATCATCCATTCTGTTTCATCATTCTCGATCCTGCTTGGCACAACCTTCTAGTCTCACTGTGGCCTAGGCTACTAAGCCTAGGCCCTACTCCTAGTGTTTCTGATATGGTATTAGAGCAGGTACAGCAGCAAAGGGGCAGGCACTCCTGCCACCCCTTTACTCTCCTCCCCCCCCCCCCCCCACCTCAGAGGGACGGGGGCTGGTTGGTCTCACACCCGCCACCCCAATGCCACTCCCCTGGCTCCCCCACACCCTCACACCCTCCCCCCCAGCGGCAGATGCAGCAGTGGGAACGAAAGGAGGAGGAGGGGAAGGGAAACACACCACCCATCACCCCCACACCCGCCACCCCCAGACCCTCCCCCCCACGGCTGCAGGGAGACGAAGGAGGGGGGGGAGGGGGGGGGGGGGGGGGGATTAAGCCGCAGGAGTTCAGGTCGGCGCCCTCAAGGGGCACGCGCGCGGCCCCCCTCCCCCCCGTCGCCCGTCGTGGCGCCCTCGGGGAGCCAGCGCGCTGCACCCCCGTCGTCGACCCTGCAGCCGCCCCTGGCCCCTGGAGCAGCCGCCCCTGCAGCAGCCGCCCCTGGCCCTTGGAGCAGCCGCCACTGCAGCAGCAACCCCTGGCCCCTGGAGCAGCCGCCCCTGGCCCCTGGAGCAGCTGCCACTGCAGCAGCCGCCCCTGGCCCCTGGAGCAGCCGCCCCTGCAACAGCCGCCCCTGGCCCCTGGAGCAGCCGCCCCTGGCCCCTGGAGCAGCGTCCTCTGGAGCAGCTACCCCTGCAGCAGCCGCCCCTGGCCCCTGGAGCAGCCGCCCCTGGCCCCTGGAGCAACCGCCACTGCAGCAGCCGCCCCTGGCCCCCAGAGCAGCCGCCCCTGCAGCAGCCGACCCTGGCCCCTGGAGCAGCCGCCCCTGCAGCAGCCGCCCCTGGCCCCTGGAGCAGCGGCCTCTGGAGCAGCCGCCCCTGCAGCAGCCGCCCCTGGCCCCTGGAGCAGCCGCCCCTGGAGCAGCCGCCCCTGGCCCCTGGAGCAGCGGCCTCTGGAGCAGCCGCCCCTGCAGCAGCCGCCCCTGGCCTCTGGAGCAGCCGCCCCTGCAGCAGCCGCCCCTGGCCCCTGGAGCAACCGCCACTGCAGCACCCGCCCCTGGCCCCTGGAGCAGCCGCCCCTGCAGCAGCCGCCCCTGGCCCCTGGAGCAGCCGCCCCTGCAGCAGCCGCCCCTGGCCCCTGGAGCAGCGGCCTCTGGAGCAGCCGCCCCTGCAGCAGCCGCCCCTGGCCCCTGGAGCAGCCGCCCCTGGCCCCTGGAGCAGCCGCCCCTGCAGCAGCCGACCCTGCAGCTGCCCGCGACGCCGCTCCTGGACCCTGTGCAGCCACCCTGTCTCACCCGCGCCCTCGTGCGCTCTGCTTTGCCCACGCCCTCGTGCGCTCTGTCTCACCCGCGCCCTCGTGCGCTCTGCTCTGCCCGCGCCCTCGTGCGCTGTGCTGCTGCCCGAGCTCTCGTGCGCTCTGCTCTACCCGCGCCCTCACGCGTTCTGTCCTGCTCTACCCCCCCCCCGGTCCCGTGGACAGGAGGGTGTGGGGGTGGCGGGTGTGGGGGTGATACGTGTGCGTCGTCCCTTCCTTCTCCTCCTCCGTCTCCCACTGGTGCAGCTGCCGCTGAGGGGGGTGGATGTGTGGGAGCCGAGGGGAGTGGCGCTAGGGGGGTGCCGTGGTAGTGGAGCTAGGGGTGTAGCAGTGGGTGTGTGAGAGGGGTGTAGGACAGTTGGGGGAGGTTGAGCAGAGGCTGCCGTCTTGTCGTCCGCAGCACCTGTAGTCCGGGGCTCTATCGGTGGTAGCCCAGAGAGCCTGCTGCACCTGTCGCCCGTGGGTCCGTTGCTCCTGCCGCTCAGAGTTAGCCGCAGAGCCAGTTACTCCAGTAGTCCGGGGCGCTGTCCCGGTAGCCACTGTGCCAGCTGCTCCTGTCGCCTGTGTGTCTGCAGCTTCAGCCGTCGCCTCCCATCTCCTCTCCTCTCACAGTCCCTCCTCCTCCTCACTTGCCCTCTGTGACTGCCTCTAGCTCTGGTTGTGCTTGTGACTTATTCTATGACTTCTTGTTGTGCTGATTATACCCCAGTTTGACTATGGGGGTGTGTTATAATATGTTCTTTGTCTAGCCTGCAGTGGGGTACTCAATAGTGAATACAACCCTTTAGGGTTTCCTATTTGTACCAACCTGCCTGCTAGTGCAATCATCCATTCTGTTTCTATCATTCTCGATCCTGCTTGGCACAACCTTCTAGTCTCACTGTGGCCTAGGCTACTAAGCCTAGGCCCTACTCCTAGTGTTTCTGATACCTCCTACCGCCTCTACGCTGAAGAAGGCTTTCCATTCTCATGACGTAATATCGACCCACACCTCGTCCCCAAATTCCCGCACCGTCGATCGCTTCTGCGTGTCGGTCTCCACCAGAGAAGGGATCGAGCCGAGAGCCTGCGCATGCCTCTCCCCCTCAGCTGCCCGGCATACCCTCATATGGTTCTTAGCAGCCCCTCGCGTAACGAACGTGTGGAAACACGTGTCACACGGAAAACGGGGGCATCGGGAAGGCGGCCTGGGAGGTTCTCCGTCCGCCTCTGACTCCTCCGCAGTCGCCATGGGGGTATCAAACTCCCAAAGTCGGCTCCACTCCTCCGACTGTTGCCCCTGGTCGTCCCTCGACAGCCCCCGTGACTGCTGCGCTCCCTGGGGTGCTCCGGTCGCACGCGGCTGCCCCCCTGGCTGCTGCACTCCCTGGGGTGCCATAATGGTAACAGACAAAATTATGGAGCGAGATTGATTGACACTCTGGTTCACACATATATGGAGTGTGAGAGATTCTAGATGTACAAACATGAGGATCTAGAGGCCTTGGCATAGAAATGCACTTCCATTTAGTGCAATAACCTACCGAACCGTTGCGCAGATCATCCCACCGAACCGCAAGTGAGGTCTTTCTTCACACCCTGTCGTGAGGTACGAGATAGGTTGTAGAGCACAGATGGTGATTCTGCTGTCGGCGGCGGGGCAAAACCTTGGGGGTGCCGCCCAGCTAGAGCTTACTGGAAGAACCACTAGAGCCGCAGGCCGCAGCATCTCATCCATCTAGCTCCCTCACTTTCCTTTCGCCACCGCCATTTCACCCACTCGTGCCATTCTCCAATTTTCTGCTCCACCACATAGTTCACAAGCTTTATCAATACTCCGTTTTTTAAACGACCACCATCGGCCTGATGAATGACTCGAGTATCCATTGCCTTGTTTCGTCCGAGCCTTGCTCAACTTGCGCGGATGAATCAGGCTGCGATTGTTGCTCATGTGCACAAGCGGGATGCATCAGACGTTCTCCTAGCGTGAAGAAACTCAGGGGTGCTTTGGCTTTCATGAGCCAATAACGCACTTCAACTTTTAATGACTTTCGATCAGTCATATCGTTCTGGTTCACCGTTGGGCTTTGTCCTTCATATCTTAATCCGTTAACGCGATCTTAGAACAGGCAACCTTAGAGGTAGCATTCAATGATTTTTCCAAGCCTCGTTAGTCAACGATAACTTAATTTGTGGTGATTAAAGGCCACACCAGTGAACAATAAGGCATCAGTCAATGGAGGTCACTAACAGAGATAAGTCACCGCTTAAGGTGGTCCGCTGGGGCGATTCATCACATTCAGGCTCTAGTACTCAGGCAGGAGTTCAGATAAAACCGCGTAAGGGAAAGAAAAAGTCATCTAGCGGTACTAGTCTTACGAGTTTTGAGTTACCAGTTACCAGCTGTGGCGAATCAGCTGTGGATCTCGCTGATGCGTTCGCAATTCATCAGCCTCCCGCGTTTCCGCCGCAACAGCAGCATCAAGCAGAGCAGCAGCAACAAGTTCAGTTTCAAGAAGCCGGACGGCACACGCATAGCGAGGAACTGTTGCGTGATCCGGAGAAGCAGGGCCCGAAGACGACTCGTTCTCGACCTAATAGCGGGGAATTTGCGGTCGTTGGTACGTCCGCGGAAGGGCAGGCGGAGGACTCGGGGCAAACTGGCGGCAACGGCGCAGGGACACGGGGGAAAAAAGGGCGGAAGAAAAGCCAGAGCGCCGCGTCGCTTCAGCCTTACGAGGCAGCACAGCCAGATGGTTACATGCAGCCAGGTGGTTACTCGCAACTTCAGGGGGTTTACTTACAGAACGGTTACAACACACAGCAGCAGCAGCCGCCGGCAACGCAGACCCAGCAGTGGCAAGACGAGTGGACGGTTCTAGCAGATGGTGACGTAATCGACGAGCCTCGTTACCAGCCGTCCGTTCCCTTCCCTCTTTCGCGATCCGTTACTGCCGGTCCGCAAGCGCCTAAGCCGTTAAAGGACGGGGTGTCCCGGACCGCAAGGCAGCAGAGGGCTTTGGCGGAGAGCGTAGGGGGATCATACGATGCTGAGTTGGGGAGAAGCGAAGGGGGTTTTCAAACAGAGAGGGTTCCGACTCAGGCGCCGCCTGCGGAGGTTATGCTTCCGCGGAGCAAGTCGGAAGCGGGTAGGGGCGGGGTTGCGCTTAGGAGGGGGAGAGCCCGCGCAGGAGCAGTGACAATAGGGTCGGTGGGCTCTGAGGCGGAACTCGCGCAAGGGGTGGTACGGCGGGCGTCGCAGGGGGAGCTGGCTGCGGAGGAGGGGGGTGATCAGGTGAACGTGGTCGCACAGAGGGCGCGTGCGACGGGTGCGAAGGAACGGAGGCGACAGCCGAGCGAGGATAGCGCCAGCAGCACTAGTGACAGCAGGGGTAGCAGCGGAAGCTCGGTGGGAGGTATGAGTATGATACACTCCCAAGCGCAGCAGCAGCAACAAGCGCAGCAGACGCAGCAGGAGCAGCAGCCGCAGGAGCAGCAGATGCAGCAGAAGACGAAGCAGGCGAAGCAGCACAGGAGAAGGAAGTCCGGGGGGGATGTGACGGCTGCTGCTGCTGCTGCTGCTGCTGGTGGTTCTCAGGCCGGGTTGCCTGCAGGAGGGGAAGGCATTGCGGGCGGTGGGGGCTATGCCGAGCACGCCAATGGAGGCAATGGTGCTGGGGGAAGTGATGGGGGGTCCCAAGGTGTCGCCTTCTCAGGTGGAGGCTTTTCCGGTGGAGGTCACCTAGGAGGCAACGGCTGGGGCAGGGGTGGCGTGGAAGGGGGGCCTGCAGCGTTGTATGCGTCCCTGCTGGCTGTACACCCGCCCCTGATCTCCAAATCCGGTCGACAGGTCGTTCGGGTAAGACTGCTGGGTTACCCCTCGACCCTGTAGCTTTTGAGAATTCTTGTAAGTCCTGCCGCGCTATACGCGGCCCTACTGTCTGCGCGTCCCCGGATCTCCAGGTCGTTCGGGTAGGCGCTGTTCGTTTGTCCCTTGCACCTGCAGCTGCACGTACCTGCCTGCTGCTGTCTGGTCGTATGAAGCCATAACTCCTCTTCTGGCAGAAGGCGTCTTATTACTGTGAGACTGCTAATGTTTCCCTCCGTTCTTTCTGCTCTTTTCCGGTCTTTCAAACGCAGTGCCAGTGGTGCTCCCAGATGCTGGCAGTGCCGGCGCAGCTGCAGCCGTCACACAAGGGCAGGCAGAAACTGCGGTGCGGCAAGTGCATGCGCGTGTCTAAGTATGCTGTCATTCTGCCGCCGCCCGACATGCCTGGCCTACCCCTCCTTATTCCTGTTGAGAGCGCACAAGAAAAGGGTGATGTGCAGTCCCAGGTGCAGTTTCCAGAGCAGCAGCAGCATCATCTACAGCAGCAGCAGCAGCAGCAGCAACAGCAGCATGAGCATCAGCTACAGCAGCAGATGACCGTGCAGGGTTCCCAGGGGATCGAGCAGGCGTTGATAGAAGGGGAGGTCGCTGGGGACGACAATGAGGACGAACAGTGGCAGCAGCAGCCGGGAACCCTGCAGGTACAGCAGCAGCAGTGGGAATTGCAGCAACAGCAGTTACAGCAGCAGGCACAGCAGGTGCCGATGCCAATGCAGGTACAGGCAGGTGGCATGGCAGGACCGCGGTTCCCTGCTTCAAGTGCTGCAATTCCAAATGCAGCCATTGCAGGTGCAGCCGTTGCAGCAGCATCCTTGCTCACGGGTGCGCCAGCCTACCATGGCATGGCACCACAAGACATTCAGCCAATGCTGCAGCAAGGGTTTCCACAGGGAGGGGGTTTCCCTGGCGCCATGGGCCAGCAGCTTTCCCAGCAGCGGCAGCAGCAGCAGCAACAGCAGCAGCAACAGCAGCAGCAGCCGTTGCAGCAGCAGCAGCAGCAGCAGCAGCCGTTGCAGCAGCAACCATTGCAGCAGCAGCCATTGCAGCAGCAGCAGTTTGGTCATATTCAGGGAGGTGGGGGTTTGGGTCCAATTGGGCAGCAGCAGCTACAGCAGCAGCTGCAATGGGTAAATAGTGTGCCCCCTTCTGCTTTGAATGGGGCGGTGCAGCAGCTGAATGGCATGGCCCTATCCAGTGTTCGTCCTCAGCAACTGCACACATTGCCGCATGGTCCCATGCTGCCGCATCGACCGCAGCAGCTGCCACAGCAGCTGCAGCAGTATCAGCAGCCGCCACAGCAGCTGCAGCAGTTTCAGCAGCAGAATCAGCAGCAGCAGTTTCAACTGCAGCAGTACCAGCATCAGCAGCAGGGGCAGCAAATTCAGTCACAGTATCAGCAAAGACCTACGATCATCCAAGTCTCTACTTCCCTCACAGGCGAATCTGGTGTGGGTTTAGCCAAGGGTGGTGAGCCTGGTCAGGGGTATGCAGGTGGGACTTACTATCAGCACCCTCAACTTATGCCTGTCAGACCTCAGCAAGACACCGTGCAACCACTGCTGCAGCAGCAGTCAGGCTTACAGCAGCAAGCTCGGTCACATATGCAGATGCAGATGCCGCAACAAGATTTGCAGCAGCGGCAGCAACAGCAGCCGCAGAAGCAGCAGCATTGGCAAGGAGTTGGGCAAGGGACTTTCAGTCAGCATGGCATTGTCGGTCAACAGGACGCTCAGCAGCAGCAGCAGCAGGGGCTGGCAGCTCAGCAATCCCTGCCTCGCAGAGCATCACAGGGAGCAGCAGGCGAAGCTCAGCCTTCAGCCAAGCACGTCCGCAAGTCCAGTGGTGGTTCTGACTCCAGTACCAGTGGTGTTGCACCTGCTCTCAGAATGCCTAGTACTGGAGCGGCAGCAGCAGCAGCAGGAGCAGAGGGAGCAGGAGGAGTGATGGCAGCAGCAGCTGTGGCAGACGAGAATGGACAGGAGTTGGTCCCGAGGACCGCATCAGGGAAGCGGTTCCAGCGGCAGGCACGGGACATGCTGGCAACAAGACGAGTCACCGTGGGTTCGGGCGGCAAGCTGGCCACCGTTCCTTCCTTCCGTGCTGCTCCTCAGATACAGGGAGGGACAGCAGGAGGAGGGGCGGCAGGAGGAGGGGCGGCAGGAGGAGGGGCGGCAGGAGATGGTGCTGGTGGAGGGGGAGGGGAGATGTCGCTGCGGCGAACATCAACAGAGAGGAAGGGAGCGAAAGGGGTAGAGGGAGGGGGAGCAGTGGTGCTGATGCCACGGAGCAGGACGATGAGTATGGGTGTGGAGGCACAGTACCGGAGAAAGGTGGTTGTGAATGGGGTGCCTGTGCCGGACCAGAGGGTTCTTGTTGCAGAGCAGAGGATTGGGAAGATCGAGCCTGGGAATTATTGGTGCGGATATGCTGATTTAGCTATTTTGTGCCACAATGTTAGGCTTTCATTGTTTCCTATCCATGTGGTTCGTGGTTCCATGTTTCTGGGACAATCTGAGCACCCGTCAGTTGTGCATTGTTGATATTGCCTTTGTGGTTGCAGGTATGACTGCAGAGCTGGGTTCTGGGGGCCTGTTGGGAGTGCGTCCTTGGGCGTCATTCCAGTGAGCAATGCTTTGTCTACGTTCATGCAATATGCATCTGTATCTGTCGTCTTGCTGTGTCACTCACTAGTTCTTTCCTCTCATTTGATGTCAGGCTTTCATGCGCGAGCTAGGCAATGCCCCTGTGTCCATGGATTGCTCCGGTGGCAAGAGCAAGATTCTGGTGAATGGACGAGAGTTGCATCGAAAGGATGTCAAGGTTCTGGCAGAGAAGGGTTTCCCTGAGACATTGGGAGGCAGGTATACGCTGGATGCGGATGGCACTCTGGTCAATGAGTTTGGACGAGTGGCGGCTAACCTTGGGAGCCTGTAAGTTTGCAGCTTTGGTTGGGTGACACTTTTTTTTTTTTTTTTTTTTTGTGCAGAAAATGAGCTTATGAATTGGTCCTCTCCTCTGTGTGCAGGCTGGAGGATGACAAGGATGGCTTATTTATGAAAGCTGGGTCAGAGATCAAGGTCAAGCAGAAGAAATAAACACTACTAACGTTGTCAAGTACAGTGAAGGCCTTCGTACAGTATTTCGTGTTGTGTGTTGGTGTTGCTGTGGCACCTTCCATTCCCCCGACTGTCGGTCGACGTTTCTTCGCATTTGTAACGGCTTTCACCAAATTATCGCAGGCCTATGGCAGAATTCCGTTTCGCTGACGAACAGCGGACCTTGAGTTGAGTTCTCCTGGCTGATGATGAACCTCGAAATTCCCAGGCTTCTGCGCCAAGTCACAACTTATTTTGGCTCAGTTTAGTTCTGTCAGGAATTGTGGGTCCTGCCGAGCCTCGCAGGACCTTGGCCTGGCCTAAGCTTTTGTGTGCGACAAACCGAACAGCGCCCACTGGCTCGGCATAATCAGGAAGATTTGACAGGAGCGGTGCAGCACCAGCAGCAGAGCAGCAGCAGCACTCCCTCCAGTGTATTCTCCGTTCTTCTTTCTCCTCTTCCCTAACCATTTTCATCTCTTTGACTTCCAGTGCACTCGTATCTTTACAAGGAGTGATCTGCAGTAGAATGTTGTGCTGCATCGTCATTGTCACCGCGAAAGCTGCTGGCGTATTCCCGATTTGACTAGTTTTGCGACGGGGTGGTACGCCGTAATGACACATTCTTAGGTAGCTAAAGGCCACGCGTGTCTGTTTTAGGTCGTCGACGCGTTTCATTCTTTCCACACGATTGTAAAAAGGCTCGTCAACGATAAGCGCGTACTCATTCGAAATGGGAACACGGAAGCTCGCGCACCTTGATCCGTAACATCTAGGGATTAATGTCTCTTTTCCTCCTTCCCTTAACGTAGACCTTTTCTTATTGCAACATGGCTAGCCTCCAACCACCAGGTAGGAAGATACGACCTCAGCAAGATCCTTATGTGTCTGGTAATGGCTATCACGCCGATGGACACCCAAACAGACTATCAACCCCGCAGGGAGTGCATTCCGTATCCACCCAACAGCAATCACCGATGCCTAAGTCCAGCTCCGCCTTCCCTTCACGAACTGGAAGTCTGTCAAACACCCACATGACGCCACCCGATGCCTGGGACGGCCGACAGTCTTCAGACCAAAATCACATCCCGCAAAACCAAGCTCAATCTTTTCAGCAAGGAATGCAAGTAGGAGCTCAGCAGCATGGCATGCAGCACGGGGTGCACGAGACACCCGCTCAGGGCCAGCGGGGATCCATGCACGTGGATCCAAACACCAGCCTCGCGGCCCAGCGCGTGCTAGCGGCGCACAAGGCGAAGCACCTGCATGTGGAGGTCGATTCCCCATCTGGCGTCCCCTCGCACGGGGGGAACTCGGGCGGGGCTATTGTGACTGGAGAGGGTCCGGAGTTCCGCGAGCCGGCGCAACAGCAGCAGCAGCAGCTTCCGCCGATTCAGGCTCAGGCGCAGGCGGTTCCAGGCGAAGGGGCTACTGTTCCGCAGCCGCTACTGTCAAAGTCAGGCCGGCCTGTTGTGCGTGTAAGTTATTGAACGCGGCAGCCGGAGAAATCAGCAACCATTCCTTGCATCCTTACCTTTTCCTTGCTTCGTTGTCCTCGCGTTGCCTACATCGTTTTCCCCGCATGTTTCCGAATTCCGATTTCGTTCCATCGCAGTGCCAGTGGTGCTCCCAGATGCTCGCCGTGCCACCAAAACTGGAGCCGAGAGACGGAGTTCAGAAGCTGCGTTGCGGAAAGTGCCTAAAGATCTCCAAGTTCTCCGTCTTCGTCCCTCCCGCCGGCGGCGTTCCCGTGCTCATGCCTCTTTCCGCCTCCGGCCCTCTCCCCGGTCCGCCTTCTGTAGCTGTTTCGCGTGGTGGAGCCCAAAATCAGCAACCCCTGCCTGTGCAGCCACAGCCGCAGCTGCAGCCGCCGCCGCAGCAGCAGCAAGGGCAGGTGGTGTCGGAGGAAACGTGGCTGCAGCAGCCGCTGCAAGGTGTAGCCCCGCTGCAGGCTTACCAGCAACAGCCGCAGTTCCAACAGCCGCAGGGCATGGGTCCCGTGCAGCCGCAGCAGGCGCGGCAGCCTTCGCCGCAGCTCATGCAGCAGCAGCAGCAGCAGCAGCAGCAGCAGCAGCATGCAGCGTTGCAGGGTTATGGGCAGGGTGCGCAGGGGCTGGTGCAGCAGATGGGCGGCTTGAGCATGGGTGAGTCGTTTAGTCAGCAGCCGTATGCTATGGCCCCTCAGATGCCACAGGGGATCGGCCCGCAGGGAGGGATGCAGCAGGGCATGGGGCAGCAAGGCATGGGGCAACAGGGCATTGGGCAACAGGGCATGGGGCAGCAAGGCATGGGCCAGCAGGGGATGGGGCAGGTGTATCAGCAGCAGGCTCATGCACCTGGGCATATGCAGGCTCACCCACAACAGCAGCAGGCGGTACCTCAATTCCAGCAACAGATGGTTGGGGGAGTGCAGCAGCAGTATGCCAACTTCGCACAGCCAGGCATGGCTGGGCCTGGAGGGTTTATACCTCAGCAGCAGCAGCAACAGCAGCTTCAGCACCCTCACCAGCAGCAGCAGCACATGCAATTCCAGCAGATGCAGAATCAGCCCATTCAACAGCAGATGCAGCAGCAGGTGATGCACCAGGGACAGGGTCAGGGGCAGCAGCAGATGGGTCATCTCGCGCCCCCACATGCCTCTCAATCTCCCGTGCAGGCGTCAGGCTTTGCAGCTAGCCCCCTATCCCAGAACCACTCACCCTCCATGCCCATGTACCATCAAAACTCAGGCCCTCCGCAACAGCAGCAGCCACTCCACCCATACCAGCAGCAGAGCCCCATGCAGGGTCGCTCTCACATGGGCAAGGTAGCATACGGGCATCAAGCACCCAGACCTCCTCTATCCGGTGGGAGCATAGGGGGGCACCTGGAGAGCGAGGAGGGCCTGCCAAGGCAAGGGTCAGGGAAACGGTTCCCCAAGCAGCCGCCACAGCCCCCCATGGACCCACAAGCTGCCACCAGACGGTACCTCACTGGCCCGGGGAAGTCCCTAGCGGCTTCGATCGGCTTTAGAAGCGGGTCTCTCAACGAACATCAGATGCAGCAGCAGCAGCAGCACGGGGGTGCGGGAATGGGAGCGCCTGCGGACCTGCCCTTCAGGCGCACTGCCACGGAGTACAGTGGGCCGCCCGGGCGGGCAGATGCGATGACGGTGGCGCCGAGAAGCTCCACGCTGGGCGGCGAGGGGCAGTACCGTCGCAAGGTGTATATGAACGGGCAGCCCGTGCCTGACAAGCTTGTGTTCCTGGCTGAGAGGCGGATTGGAACGATTGAGCCAGGCAGCTACTGGTATGTTGTGCACTGCTGTCTTTAAAACAGGATGGGCGTCTGTTGTGCATGCTTCTTGTGGTTTTGCTGTTTGCGTGCCTAATGGAGGAGTGACTTGTGTTCGTGCATTGCTCATTCTTTTCACCCGATCTTGTTTCCCTCCACCTTTTGTTTTTCTTGTCATCTCATGTTCCAGGTATGACTGCCGAGCTGGATTTTGGGGCCCTGTGGGAGGGCCAGCATTCGGAGTTACTCCGGTGAGTTGCTCTTTGGAACAGGCAAATGAGAGTCGCAGGCAAGTTATAGGTGAAAGTAAGCCAAAACTGCAAATTCACCTGAAATTAGGCTGATAAATCAACCCTGGTAGAAAAAACAAGGCTGAACAAAGGTTGAATCAACGTAAAAAGCTTCGAATCTGAGGGTCTGCGTGTGGAGAGGTAAGGGCCTGAAAGTGGGTGGTTGAAAAAATGTTACAGCAGCAGCAAGTGTTACTACCTCATTGTGGGCTAGTGTGCCGAGTTGTTTTCGCCGCGATGCCCAAATGTAGCCCCGTTTCTCCCTCCTGCCTGCTTGTTTCCCAACAGGCTTTTATGAGGGAGTTCGGCATGCAGCCGATGCAGAGTGACTGTTCCGGAGGCAAGACTAAGGTGTTTGTGAATGGGAGAGAGCTGCACAAGAAGGACCTTGTTACTTTGATGAAGAGGGGCTTTCCGGACACTCCTGGTGCTCGGTACACTCTGGATGCTGATGGCACAGTCTGCAATGAGGCAGGCCGACACCTCTTTGCCATGGGAAAACTGTAAGTGAAGCTCTATTGTCAAGCCGTAGTAGTTTGAGCGGCCTGTCAATGTGTCAAGCTTGCCAACTTCAGCTTACACAGCGAGCTGACTCTTTCCATGCCCATCGTGCTTTTGTTTGTGCTTTTGTCAGGATGGTGGACAAGAAGAAGGGTATGTACATGGTGAAACCCCAATAACATGGAGCTAGCACCAGCACGAAAGTAAATAATGAGATCAACTATCTAACTGATGGCAGTGGGTGATCGTTTCAGTCATGGTGCTAATGAACCTGTGTTCATAGCAGCTGTCATATCTGGTGGTCTTGCAACTTAACCTTACCTGACTTCTTTAAATCCACCAGCCTGGAAGTGAAATCATACTACCACGTGGATATTCCAGGAGACAACTTCCTCAGACTAACACACAGTAATAACTATGGGGATTTAACTTAGAGATGCTTCACTACTGGGAACTGAACACAGTTTTATAACGAAATACTTGTATCCAACCTGCGGAGAACAATCGCACTCCCTCACTTCGTTCCGCCAAGTGCCAAACCGTCATGTGCTCCCAAGATTCCCGGAACCTGACAAACACATCGGCGAGGAGGGACCAACCAATGGGCTTCTTCGCTGCTTGGTGAATGTCACAGCGAGTGTTTTTGCCTGTTTTCGTGCCTCAGATGCCTTCAGTTCCTCCCTACCCTAAATCCCCCTACATTAATTACGTTCAGGCGCGCGAAGAACTGGTTGATACGTGTATGTAATGTCCAAGCCTGATATTTCGTAGAATCAGTGTAAGCACGCTCGCTGTCTCCGAAACGTCGCTTGATCTTAGGGAGCAGGCTTTTCCAGATGAGCTTAGTCGGTGCTTGTTAACTGGGGATCACTCTCTGATCTGATCCAGCCATTAACTGTAGTCATGGCGACCAGATTAGCTTCTCTTCTTCTTCGTGCAAGAAAGCAGGTGTGTATCAGGGGCACGTAGCATTCGCGATCAGGCTGCGCAACTACTAATTCAGGATATCATCGTGATACTCGCAGGACTGGCCAAGACCTGGGACGTCCAGATATGCCTGGCTTCTAGAGAGACAGTTAGCCACAACTTCCTTAGGTATGGTGCGACATTTGCGATGCGGAGTGTTAGTCATATTCTGATACTGATTCTAGTGAAGTCTTGTGCAGGGGACAAACACGACGAAACCACCAGGATCCCTCTTATTAGTGCATCACAGGTTAGCTTCACCGCAATGTGAATGTGCGTGAAAATCTCGTAGAAAATCCCGATTCTGACCACGACGTGCTGCTCCTTTTCAGGAATCGGCTAGTCCTAAGCCATCTGCGGGATCAAAACCAAAGCTTCGGCCTTTGATGCCAAAAGCAGACGGCAGCCTACCAGAGGCCGTCAAAGTCGCTGCTAAGGCCTGCGGAGTGCAAAATCCGACGGTGAAACGAGTAGCAGAGGGCGTGACGTCTACCACACCCACAAGAGTTTTTGAAGTACCTGAGTTGATCGAAAATGACAAAGTGCTACCAGACATGTCTCCAGGAGTGGTGCCTAAGGGTTACATTGATCCGGTTATTCCTGAAGTCTGGGGTCGGGTCCATTCCATCGAGTCGTTTTCGGCAGTGGACGGGCCTGCCATTAGATCCGTAGTCTTCGTGCAGGTGAGCGACAAGTATCTCGCTTTTTTTCTTCTTGTTTGTGCTCTGCATATTATTGCACAAACGAGAAGCGGTGATCTCACTGTTGTACATGGAAAACAGGGATGTCTAAGGCGGTGTGTTTTCTGTGCCAACCCAGATACATGGAGGTCAGTTTCTTAAGCTCTTCGCTGCCTACTCGTTTCCGCTGTAGCTCATCCCTCATGCTGTAATTCGTCCGTCGGTTTTCAATTGCAGCGTGACAGCTAAGTCTCAACGGCTATCATCCAAAGACATTGCTGCGCGGTTGAAGAAGAACTTGGCGTATTATAAAGGCGGTGGTGGGGTGACTATTTCAGGAGGGGAGCCAATGATGCAGCCTCATTTTTGCAGTGCCGTTTTCAAGGAGGCTCACCGACTGGGAATCACAACAGCACTTGACACAGCAGGTAGCTTTAGGTATCCGCTATTGCTGCAAGGTCGAGCTTCCTTAACCAGTTTCCACGGTTTCCTTCTTAGTGTTGTTTGAGTCGCTCATTATTCATCTCATCATCTGGTTAATGCAGGATACGGCAGAGCCAAGGACTGGGCTGAAGTTCTTCCACACACTGACACTGTTCTCCTGTGCACGAAAGCAATGAACCCAAAGCTCTACTTTGACATGGTACAAGTGAAGCAGCAACTGTTTCTGGACTTTGCAAAAGCAGTGGGAGATTATGGCGTTCCTATGGTCATACGCTTTGTTCTGGTCCCGGGCATGACTGACACAAAGGAGGAAGTGGAGGGTCTTGTTGAATGGGCTAAGCAGCAGCCAACATTAGTCGGGATTGAAATGCTTCCATATCACAGGCTAGGGGTCAACAAGGTAAGACACTGCTGTAGCACTTCATGCATTTGGTGGTGCATTGTTGCCAGCTCCATTTTGACATCCCATGTGTGTTTGTTCACTGTGCAGTGGGAAGCATTAGGATTGAAATATCCTTTGGATGGGATGGTGCCAAGCCCAAAAGAAGTCGTTGATAGTTGGCGTTCATACATTGCCTTGCAAGGGCTGAAAGTGATGCTTTAGATTACCACAGTTTTAGAGTAGTTGTTGTATAATATATGTAGGGGTTATTACTGTCAAATATTGGTTAAATTCAATATACCGTAATACCACCATTTCCACTTGCCGAAGTGTGCTCTAGCTAGAATCGAATTTTCTGTTTCACCGAGCGACGCGCTGATGCATCTGTGGCCACAAATTCCATTCCTGAGGTGGACGTTGGGTTCAGCTGACGCGAGTGGCCTTCTCAACGAATGAATGCACGTCAGCAGCATACCTTCACCGTCGATAACACCCGAACCGCATCCAGTGTTTTGGTATCTGGCAGACACAGACCTGCCTCTTGGGTCTGTTTCCCCTCCCTTGAAGTCATCGCCTTGAGATGAGTATAATCTAGCTGAAATGAGTTCGTGAGAAGGATTGCTGAAAGCACCATTCATTGCTACCAACACCTCGGCCTCCGCGAGACTCAAGGGAGCGAAGAACAGGCAAAGCCGCACTGTCTGCATAAACATCTTTTCCTTATTCTGGCATTTAGCTCGAAGCAGAGGTTTGATACATTCCTCCGTCATGCCTGTGCTCTCGATCACGGCTCTTGTTGCTGCTGTTCCTCCACCACCTTGTGTTTCAGCCCTCGGCTGCACCAATGTGGCTCCTGAATGTCTTATTAACTCCGGAAAGACAGACCACCGCGCACCGCGACCCTGTAAGCGTCAGATTGACTCAGCAGCGCGTTCTCGACAAGATCCGCTGCTAGTACCAGCTCGTGCCGCCCACATACTGCGAGCTGTGGTCAATGCGGACCGCGAAGCAGCTGCGACAGCTGGCCAGATAGAGCAAGTATCAACCAGCACCGAGCGAGTGGAGAAGGCTGAAGCGATAGCAGTGTCTGTCCCTTCGCCTGACAATGCCGTCATTTTGTCAACTTCTCGAAAATTTGAAGTTGTTCGCGTGACAGAAGATCCACAACTCTGGGTATGGCTGCTTGTAGCGGTAGACGCGCGGTGACGGCTGGCATCCATCTCGTCGTAACATTCTGCTTCCGCATTTGCTGGTGTTACTTCAACTGACCAATGCTCATGTTCCCTTCGTTTACCCTGATGCTGCCAGGCAGCAGCGGCGCTTCGAGCAGATGCCTTATGTGAAACGGAACCGCATGTGAGGTGAGAGAAGGCGTGCTTTGTGTATGTTTGACAGGGCTTCACCCAGAACATGAAACCTGTAGCTTAGGTGGTCATTTCATCACTCGTCCGTCTTGCGAAACGTAAAGGCGCGTGGCATTGCCTGAGATGCTCGTTTAAAGGGTTAATAGCAGCTTTTAGCTCCGTCTGCTCCTGACTGTGCTAGATGTCACATCTTTGAATTCTCAGCAAGGATTCCTGCCACATTGTTCCTCAAATTGTTTGCACACAGGTTCGTGGACAGCTTTAAAAAACGATTCACTGAACAGGTACAATGTAGAAGAGTAAATAGCGTTGCAGTCTAGGTTTCAGTTGGACGAAACGCAACAGTTTTCAACTCCATGAAGCTTATACTTGCTGCACCATATGACTCATCTCTGCCTTTCTCTGATGCTCGATCCCTGTCTTCGCCCATTGTTGCTCATTATGCCTCTTTCTGTCTCTCACCACCCAGGAATTCCACTCGATGAAACGACGCATCAACGGGACCACGGGTCAATCTATCCGCTGCGTCTGCCTTGCTGCTATGCAGGCCGAACCAGACGACAGCGACAAGCAGCCATTCACCATTCACACGAATGGCTCCTTAATAAGGCTTGCTGAATTAGCAGAACCAAACAAAGAAGTTGCGGCTCTGGAGCACAGGTTGGCGGACACAGGAGCGGAGGCTGTCAGTGTGCCAAATGGAAGGAAGGGAGCAGGTGTAACAACTGGAACTGCAGCAGGAGGGGTTGCAGCCAAAGGGGTTAAACCGAGGTCAAAAATAACTGAGTTGGAGAGAGTTGTGGGTACTCTTGACATCAGCCTAAGACGATTGGGATCAAATGAGATCTTTCCAGGGGTGAGCAACATACTTCTAAAACCGTCTGAACTAGTTTCCTGCAGTACCTGAAAGCCATCACATGAGCATGCGTCCCTGATATGTCCTTCCTTCATGCCCTGATGGTGCACACCTTGAACTCAGCTCAGCTAATGCTGCTCTTCCTTGCCCTCTTGCTTGCAGGTCGAGCGCCCTCGCGAGTCCTCCAGCTTCTTGGTATCCCTGCCTTCCTCCGCCCTCACTGCTCTTTCCACCACGGCCAACGGCCTGCAAGCTGCTGTGAGCGACATACAGTCAGCTGTGATTGACATTGGGTCGGCTGCAAATAGCATCCAGTCAGCAGTGAATGGTATTGGGTCGGCTGTGAATGGCATCCAAGCTGAAATTCGCCGGTACCCTTCCAGCCTGCCTGCCTCTGCCTCCTCTCTCCTCAACAACGCCATCTCTGACCTCCAGGTATCTTCACAATCCCACATTGAATTTTACTTCTACCTCACATACCCGGATGGATAAACGGATTTGAGGCTTTCCCCATACGGTTCCACTTTCCCATCTTGATGTGTGACCTGCACTCCTCTACTGTGATAGTTAGGATGTACTAAATTTCCTGTTTTACTGGCTTGTGCAGGATGCATGGCAGGCAGTGGCGCAGGAGAGTGACGAGAGAGCTCGTCAGTTGACTGGCTTAGTGGTATCTGAAACCATGCTTCCGCAGCAAAATGAGAAGAATCGGTTGCAGCAGGCAGTCCAGCAGAAGCAGCCAAGTGCAACGAGGGCGGAGCAATCACAAGAGCAAAATCAAGAAGCCTCAATGGCGGGACAGCAACCGCAGGAGCAGCAGCAGCAGCAGCAGCAGCATGGATTGCCAGGGCAAGTGGCGTTGGAGCGACCATTCTATGCGTACATATCAAATGTGTGCGTATCAAACAAATTCAGGCGACAAGGGATTGCTGCAGCTCTCATGCGTGCTGCAGCTGATGTTGCAGCAGAATGGGGTGAGATACAGAGGGAGGGGTTAAGCGCAGGCCATTACGTTTTTCATGCATGGGCTTCCTGTTCATGCACTAAAGAATTTCGCTGCTTTCGTATGTGCGTGTGTGTGGTGTGCATTTGTGTTTCTGTGCGTACCTCGAGTCTGCCCTCCAGGTGCTGAAGAGGTATATGTCCATGTTCATGCATCAAACACAGCTGCACATCACCTCTACCACCAGCTGGGCTATCAGGTACGTCCACTTGCCAAACGCCTTTGTCAATTGTTACTGACTTGATGACAATTTTCAATGCACATACGTATTTCAATCCGTCTAACTATCAGTGGCTTGCCTGCTTCGTCCCTGTAATCTGTTTTCCATTCTACTCGTTTCCCCACTCTCAGCTTCTTGAAACCCCAGCAGCGCCCAGTGCACACATCTTTCCTGTGTGGAAGCCATCCGGAAACCATGTTTCACTTGATGACACCCTGCTGCTGCGGCTAGCACTCAGCCATGAAGCTCAGCAGCAAAGATGACTGCAGAGAACATCGGGGCTTGGGTCAGCCACATCATTGGTGCACTGCAACTTGTTTTTTTGTTATTTAGTTTCCTCGGTTGCAACCTTTTGGGGAAGTCCCTGGTTAGTGGTTTTTGATATAATTAATTTCATTTATTCTGCAGTAGTTTCAGGAGAAATTCAGAGAGCAATTCCTCATACCCGTGCAGCTTGGCAAAGCCTGGAAAATAATTGACATCTATAATGAAGAACCTGCTGGGGCATGTGACAGACCTCACAATGTCGACATTGAAAAGTCTCAACCCCAGCTGCTCCCGCAAGTGCTCCCCCAAAGCATCTGCCACTCCATCTGGCAGAGCTCCAGGCCAAAGGTCATCTGCACCCATCGTCAAGCTGCTGTCTGTGCTGCTGCCAGCGTTGGGAACGTGAGTAGGCTGAGGTATAGGAACATTTGATACCTGGGAAAATGGTAGACAACCAGGAGAAATATCCGCTTGGCATCGGGAAGGGGATACATCGGGAAGAGACGGGCGAACCTCACATCGCACGGATGAGCCAACGACATAGAGCTTTGTGAGTCGGCTGCCGTGGTTTATAAATTGCTGCAAAACTATAGAGGGTTCCTTGCAGTCTGCATGCTTTTGAGCAGGTACGGAGGCAACAGCCGGGACACAAGTACCCATGGTATCAGCACCAGGAGCGACAGCAGCAGCAGCAGCAGCAGCCGAGGCTGGGGAAGTCGTGGTCGGAATGGCTTCAAGGGAATGAGCAAGTGCCATGAGGCCGTGAGTGTTGAAGACAAGAGAGAGGGAATGAGACGCAGTGCTGCCATTAGCTTCCACAGGCTTGGCCACCAGAGGAAAAGAGAGTCCATGACTCTGTAAAACGTCTTGCAAAGTCGAGGAGCCACTGAAGCCTTCTTGGGGATCTCCTGCTAGCCGCCTTAGCTCACTCAGAGTAAGCACCATCTGCTGAGGCACACATACGAAAAAACCAGGCACTATCTCCCATCTCCGGCCCTTCCCTTCCCCTCCCCCTTGTTGCCGACCTCCCGTCACTTCCATTCCCACTGCTGCCTTCTCTTCTCTTGCCAGCTTCGAGATTTCGGTGGCTTGACACGTGTCAGCATCAGGAAGCAGGCCTTGAAGCATAGACGCGCGGTTACAAACGCGAGCAATTCTCTCCGGCGGGTCCACAATTCGCCCAGCGAAAGTGGGAAACTGTTCAGCTAAGATCCGCAGCTGATCAGCCCATTCCGCCGTGAGCACCTTATGCACTACCGCATCAAACGGCGGTTTTTGCGGGACATCTGTGGCGTGCTCGTTTTCCTCGCTACTACTCCGGTACTCCAGAAGGTGTTGGGAAGGATCAACGGGGACGATTTCGATGCCCTTCGCGAAGCATGCGGCGATCAACGATGGCGTCAGGAAGGATCGCACCTTCTTCGGCGCGAAAGCGCATGCGACGCGGTACCGTGGCGGCGATGAACGGACGAAATCGCTTGTAGGGTCGTGAATGGGCAGAGTGTCCATTACACCAATAGCTAGAGGGCACTGGCGAAATTGATGAATTGCTGCAAAATTGATCCGTGAATGTGAGGTAGTGCAAATTTGGATGGAGTTCAACAATGCCAAAGCACATGACTTGTTGCCAATCGTAGGGCTTTGTTTTTGCTCATATAAGAAAACGAATGTAAAGGTGCAGCGATGTACGCGATTGTAGCTCTGAGGTGAATCCCAACCGTGGAATACAAACATTCTAATTGAATCGACGGCTGTCAGCGACTCCCGCGTTTATTGTCTGTGCTGCGGTTTCCGTGCAGCGCCCACGAAAAACACCCAGCTCTGTCAGTCCGCTTGTGGCTGCTTCATGCAGGCACAGAATTTGGCTTTCTGTCATCCAGGCTAATTGCTCCCGCCATTCTGTGACAGGCTTCTTGCACTACTCTCGCGCTCTGATCTTCGCTTGCTTGCATCTTGTTCTTGCGTTTTTTGTCGCCGCGCCTTCCATGGCGGATATATTTGAGGAGGAGGAGGAGGCGATGACGGCAGACGAGTACGAAGAGAGAGTCGAGGTGCGTGTCTCATTTTTCTTTACATAGCTCTGCTTCACATACCAGTCTGATTCCTGTAGTAGACTTGTACAAATCCACAATATCGTGTGATCCATTAACCCATGTTGGACGCACGGCGCATGAACGTTATGCCTGCTACAGGAAGCTTTCGCGGTGCTCGGTGCGGATGATCCCGATAAGTGCACATACGATATGGGCTACCGTAAGCGACAGGCTCTCTATTCCTGCCTTACGTGCGTGCCTCCGCCCAAAATTCCAACTCCGTCCAAGGAAACTGAAGGAGGCGGTGGAGGAAGTGGAGGAAGCAGTCGAGAGGACCCACGAGGCATATTGTCTGATGATTGGAAGCCGGCTGGAATTTGCACTTCATGCTCACTGAAGTGTCATGATGGGCATGAGGTAATAATTGTTCCATCACGTCTATTCCGCACCTTTTCCTCTCCAGGCAGCACTTTTTCTACAGGTCCGTCTCTCACACATACATCTCATTACTTGCCGTTTCCTCCCATTCGTTAGCTTGTGGAGCTCTATACGAAGCGCCGGTTCCGGTGTGACTGTGGCACATCCAGGTTTCAAGGGTCGGTTGTTCCTTCATGCCAGCTGAAACCTGAGAAAGATCTTTTGAACGAGCGCAACGAGTACAATCAGAATTATGCGGGTGTATATTGCAACTGTCGAAGGCCGTATCCTGATCCAGAGGCCGAGGCCGAAGGAGAAGAAACGGAAATGATACAATGTGTTGTGTGCGAAGATTGGTTCCATGAGCATCATCTGGGCCTTGAGCCGGGGTTTGAGGTATGCCTTACAAACGTGGTTAATTGTTCTGGCATGTGCAGCATCTATGGAATCCAACTTGCGTATCTGCCTTTTTGCAGGCTCCTGAAGAATTCTCAAACTTGATATGTGACCACTGCGCCTCCTTGAAGTGCCGTTTCTTGAAGCTGTATCCTCACCTCTTGCTAGCTCCAGAGCGTGCTGGTGACATTTCTTCATGTGGGAATGAAAGCAAAATTGGACTGGTGAGCAATGAGGAAGCGGATGCCAATGGGGACGAAGCAAGTATCGAAGTTCCAGGCATCAAAGTATGCAACGACGCAGTAGCCGCTTGTGGACATCATGCTGAGGATGTGGATGCTGTCAAACCTCAGGTCACTTGCTCATCTCAAGGAGGCGCTCTTGATGTACGTCCTGGTCCTGGTACAACGGTCGCAGACAGCGAAGCAGACTGCCAGCTAGCCTCTGTTTTGAGGGGGCGAACTCTAAGCTCTTTTTTCAAAAAGAAAACCGCGGGTGATTCAACAAGCACCACGAAGGTTGAACACTTGCCAACGGGTCCAAATGTCACTAATGGTTCAGTAGAGGCAACTACTGCAGTTCCAGACACTGACGCCCTTGCAGGCTCAGATGATTCTGAAGTCGGCCCTCTTTTTCTCACAGATGGGTGGAGGGCTTCCATCTGCAACTGCCAAAAATGCACCAGGTGTGGCTTTGATTAGGAATTTTACTCTTGATTTCTGTTCATGTCTAGGGGCTCATGTTCCATGCTGCTGCTCTTTCCAGATTTTACGAGGAGCAAGGGGTGGACTTCCTAGTTGATGTTGAGGATACTGTTGAATTCTACGAGGAAGAAGCGAAGAAAAAACGGCAACAAAAGGAGGAGGAAGCTAGTGTACAGGTTGAAGCTCAGTTTCAGAGCATGGACCGGGTTGCCCAGTTGGAGATCATTCGTGGCCTGAACAGCTTCAAGTCCGATTTTCAGGAGTTTTTGGTAAGTCTGAACACCAGATTGCCATCATAGCTGAACCTTGTTCTTCTCTGGCAAGGTCTGTCAGCAGTTCAAAAGCCACATGTTGCCATTTCAACCCCCTCCAATCCCCCTCCATCCTCTTCCGTTCTTCCGTTCTTTTCCTCCCTCCCCTCCCTTGCCCTCCCCTCCCTCCCTCCCCTCCCATCCATCCTCCCCCCTGCCCCCCTTCCCTCTCCCCCATGCAGGCAAAGTTTGCAGGTACTGATCATGTGATAACTGCTCAAGATGTCAAGCAATTTTCCGAGGAGCAGAAAGCGAAGCGCGTGCGTCATTCATAAGGCTATTGTACATATGGCTGGCTGGTATTATAAGAACCCACTTATCATGCATAAGGTTACATGCATTTGCTTAGCCTCATGCAGTATGCTAGAGGAATAGATGTAAGCATGTGATGCACCTTTTGAAAATTGAATCCTTGTTGAGTCCACACCACAGGCACTTTGGACATATGACAGAAAGTCCAGAAGAGTGTCCAAATGCATGTGTGTTAGTGGTACTAAAAGGACTTCATACTACGGGGTTCTCAGGGGGTATAACATTCAATAATGGAAGATCACATATGCTGCTATGATCTAGGGAAAGCAAAATGAGCACTAGGTTAATGCTCAGCTGAGACATATTCTGCTAATGTACAGTGAGCCTCAAACCGCTTCTCATTGGCAAGTGAATCCATGGCAGATGGAGAGCCAGATGATCAAAGCGAGCACCACCAGAATGCCAATTACAACAGCCTTCACCTTCATGTTCTCCCACCACATCTTTTTCTTGATTTCGGTCCCTTGCTTCTTGAATTGGCTAGCCTGCGCAAACCAATTCGGCAGTGCTCGAGTCAGGAGTTGCAACGTTACACATACGGAGCAAGCTTTCATGACTTTGACCCTACCTGAGTCGACAGCACGTCGGCCTTCTCCGCTAGAAGCTCCATCTTCTCGCCTCGTTGCAAAACCTGAAATACCAAGGTGGCAGGTAAGACCGGCGGCCAATTCTACGGGTTCCGGCAATCTATGAATGAAAGTGGCTCTCACCTTTTCAATGTTATCCTTCATCACACCCTTGACTTCAGCCACTTGTGCCTTAATCTTGGCGAACTTGCTCATTTCCTCAGGGTGCTCGGCCACGTACTTCATGTGCTCCTTCAGCTTCGGCCTGAATGTACGAATCGCGGAAGTCATTCAAATCTAGGAAGAAACGACAAGCATAAAGCCATAGCGGTAAAAGTGGAAAAGCTCACCCAAACTCCTTGTTCAAGGCATGGGCTCCAAGATTCGCAGCCTTGCTCGCATATCTGGCGTTGAAGTCATCCTTGATACGCTCCAGAAAGGCGAATATGATTTGCCGGGTGACGTCTTGGTCCGCAAGGACCATGTAGGCTGCAGATTCAGAATTCGCACGTTAAGACCACGGAGGAAACATATGTGCTAATTTCATCTACCGTAGATCCGATGAAAACCGTACCATATCCGTTCTCCAGGAGATAGTTTAGTGTGTGGCCACCATGCGGGAACGTAAATTTATTATTCTCTTGCGGCATCTTCTCCAGGCACTGAAGGGCGATGGTGTTGAAGTTGCCCTTGAAAGAGGTATATTCAGCGAGAACTACCGTGCCCCTGGCCACGAACGAATAGATGAGCTGACCCATGGCGATTTCTCTCAGAGTCGAAAGAAAGGCACGAAAGCACGGAAGCTTCGTATGCCTTGATATCCCTGTGAAGGAGACGAGCACACTAAGCGGCCTCAGAAGCTAAGCTGCCTGAAAAGAAAATAGAACAGAAGTGATGCTTGATTGGGAAGGGTGGAGATCTCTTGGGACCATGAAGCAGATGCAGAGGAAAACCTGGAGAATGTCGCCAGGAGACATCTGTGCCGTGCCCCAGGGCTCCCTGGAATCTGGCTGTGGGGCTCCTGCTACTGAACTGTTGGGCGCAAATATTCCCCTTCCGCGCCCTAAAATGCGCCAAGCGCGTTTCAGCGCTTGTGCTACAGTTCAGTGTGGTGTCGCCCTGTGTGTCAGGGGCCCGACAGCTGTGCGCGGGAAGCCTTGGTTGGGGTGCAGAGCGAATTGCAAAGTCTGCGCGCAGGCGCCTTTGGCTGGCACCGCTGAAGCTCTAAACCTCGTTATAGAGAAAACTGTTTGATGTAGGGAATCGGGAAACAGTTGGTTTCATTTGACATTCATTGGCTGCTACCACTCCCCAGCCTTCCCAAACCATCATTGGCTTATTCCTACCTCTGGTGTTCGCTAGTAGTTTACAATAGGCACGCTTTTATTGCTCCTCATTGCGCACGTTTCACCATACTCACGACGCCTCTTCTGCAAGGGATAGTAAGTTACAGCGACGAGAAACTCTTATCGTCGCCTTCGGCTTAGTCCCTTTCCCGTTGTAATCTCCGTGGGTATAATAATCGCTCGGCAGCCATGAGCGACGATCATGGTGGCACACTGGAAGCAGAACTGGAAACTCAGGATCCCAAGGCGCCCGACGCGGGATCGGACGATGAGGAGGACGAGGAGGATGCGGGAGGGGTGTCGGACGGGCAGCAGGAGGGTTCTGGCGGCGAGTCCAAAGAGGGAGGAGGGGAGACGGCGAACGGAACGGGGAAAAAGAAGAAGAAAAAGCAGGTGGGATCGGGGACGGAGAGAGCTTGTTGCCGACCGGTTTTAGAACGCATGTCCTCCAATTTCCGCAAACCCGAGCCTTGTCAATTTCAAACATTGTCTCCTATTTGTTTAACCTTTTATATTTCTCCTTTCTACCCTGCTTCCTTGGCGGCGTTTTTGCAGAAAAAGCGCAAGAAGAAGGGCGCGGGTGGGGGATCCAGTGACAGCGCCTCCTCGGGTTCCTCCTCCCCAGGCGCTTCTCCGCCCACCTCCCCTTCCGCCAATTCCGCGCCCTCCGCTTCGTTCCCCCCATCGTCGTCTGCGGATGCGCCCCTGTGCCAGCCGGACCTGGATGACATGCTTCCGGTTGAGGTGGCGGAAAAGAGGTGGGTCGTTTGGGGGAAGTGAAGGGGAGGGGAAGAGAAGGGGAAGAGAGGGGGGAAGCAATGGGGGAAGCGATGGGGAAGAGAGGTGGAAGAGAGGGGGAAGAGAGGGAAATAATAGGGGGAAGAGTGGGAAGAGCAGGGAGAAGAGGGGTTAGGAATTGGGAAGCTGCTGGGGTTATTCCTGCCTTGAGACTTAATAGAAGATTGTTTTTTTCTGCAACAATTGTTGTGTTGACTCAGAAATTAACAAGGTGCATGTTTTGCCATTGAAGGCTGCTTATTGTGGGCGCTGTTTTGCCCCTTTTAAACCAGCAACTCCCACCGAACCACCCCCGATCCAACCCCCACCCATTCTCCACAATCTCCCTTCCCCCTCCCCTTTTTTAACTCTCCAATTCTCTCATTTTTCTGTTTCTTTTTTTCGTCCACTTTATTTTTTATCAGGTTTGCGGCAGCGCTGGAGTCGATGCGCAGCAAGGCGGATCTGTGCATGTGGGTGCAGCTGGCGCGGTGCCGTGTGGGCGACAAGAAGCTGCGCCGCCTCACAGACGCGCTCATCCACTGCGAGACAGTCACCTCTGTGGACTTATCAGAGAACCTTATATCGGATGCAGGCCTGCGCCAGCTCGCCTGCGCGCTCTCCGCCCCAAGCGCCGCCCCGGATTTGATTTCCCTGAACGTAAAGCGCAATCCGATTTCGGCTTCCGGGCGGGCGTGTCTGGCGAATCTGCAGGCTGTGAGGAAGCTAGTGAGGGTGAGTGGGGGCGGTGGGTGGGGGCACGGGGCTGTCCGTGGTATCATGTCATCTGGGCTGCTGACGCTATCACACACGCAAGGTCTTTTCAGTCTAGTGGGTTAACATCTTGTGAGGTTAAACACAAAATCCATCTTGTGATGCCAAGTGGGCTAACTTTGCCACACACAGGGTCACCTTGGCAATAATCTTGAAACAACTCAAGCCCTGTTGATGCACCTGCTGATGTGCCTCCCGTGTGCTGCAGATAGAGTACGAGGAGAGCCCGCCTCCAGCAGCACAGGAGAAGAAGGGCGCGCAAGGAGGCAAGGGGCAGGGCATGGCGGACCCACGTGGCTTTGAAAGCGGGGAGCGGATGGGGGGGGGGTTGGCCAGCAAGGCGAGCAACCCACAGATCCGGGTGAGGCGAGTTGTGGTGGTGGGGATGGGCGAAGGTGAAAGTAGTGTAGGAACATGATGAATTGGGAGACATGGGTTTTGAGGAGTGGCATCAGTGCAGATGACCGTTGGGTAGTGCGGCCAGACAGGCCTCTCATTCACTCTTGTTCACTCTCCCCCGCTGTCCCCTTCCCACGCAGATTGACGCGGCCGTCCGGTTCATCAGGGAAGCATCCGAGAAGCTGCAGCAGATGGCACCTGAGGGCAGCAGCAGGCGGAGCATAGCGACGCGGGTGTTTGACTCGAGCATGATGACGGAGGCACTGGAGGACGTGGTGGAGCTCGTGGATGCTGACCTGCGCCGCAACCCCTCCAAGTCCTACCACAACTCGCCCATCAACAAGCTTCCCTTAGTGAGACCCTGGTGACAGGTTGGTATGTTCCAGGGGCCTTCAGGCTTTGGTGGTTGTTGAGGTGCCTGGAATAAAGCTCGTGGATGCTGACCTGCGCCGCAACTCCTCCAAGTCCTACCACCAAGCTGCCCCTCAACAAGCTGCCCCTCGTGCACACTCCTGACACCTTGGCTTGTGCTGCTCACTACCACCTCGTTTTGTTGTTCTGCTGCCTGCGTAGCTGCCATTCCCTCCTGCTTCCTTCCATGGCCCTGCCAGCCACCATCCATATTCTCACTTCCATGTTTCTGCTGCTCCTGTTCCCGTTTTCCCCATGCCCAGCCGCTGCGGCTGGTGGTGGAAAGTCTACCGACGTTCGCCTCCCTGCTGGAGCTACCCATACCGCCCCAGCAGTGCCAGCGCAAGCTGGCAGAGCCAGCAGCGGGGCGGCACCGCATCCTGGCGGTGCTGCTGCTGCGCAAGGTGCTGGGGGCGTGTGGGCGCGTGGTGGATGACCGGCTGGCACGGGAGGACTTGGGGCGCAAGGTGGCGGCGCTGCTGTTTGACTTCCCCTGGAGCAACGTGCTGCACCATGGCGTGTGCTGCTTCCTCATGGTACGTGCTGCTTCCTCATGTATCGGTCGTGTTGCATTGGGCCCCGCCCGCTTCCCGTATCCCTCTTCCATTTCCATTGCAATGTGTAGCACCTGCCCTGTCTTCACTCCTCCAAACCAAGCGCCTTGCCATTCTTCGTTCATCAGTGCTTCTCTCACAATCCCCGATCGTTCCGCTCTTCCCCCATCCGCCCCCCCATGGTGCGTCCATTCGCCAGTCCGCCCTGGAGCGTCCCAACTCATCCCTCTCCTCGTCTCTCCTTGACCCTCCTCTTTCCGATGACTCCTCCTCCTCCACATCATCCACCATCACTGCTCTCTCCTCGTCGCCGGCTCTGCCCTCCTCCTCTCCACCTGCTGCCACGACCAGTGCCACCACCACCACCGACAGCACCACTGCTGCTCATGCTGCTGCAGTTTCCGAATCTGCTGCTGCGTCTGCTGCTGCTGCAGAGTCTGCCTCTTCCGATCCCCCCTCCACCTCCCCTGATACTCCGCCCACAAGTGCAGGGGGGGACGAGGGGGCAGTGAGGAAGGCCCGGGGGAGCGGGCAGGGGGAGGGGGAGGCGGACCCCCGTCCCCAGGTGGATGTAGAGCCAGAGGCCAAGCGTGGGCGCGTGAATGGGGAGAAGGGGGAAGCAGGAGGGAAGGGGGGAGCAGAAGAGGAAGGGACAAATAAGGTAGCAGAGGTGACGGGTGGTGGGGCGGAGGAGGGTGGTAGTGGGACTGTTGATAGCGAGGCTGTTAGTAGTGAGGTGGAGACGGTGGAGAGGGAGGGCCCAGGAGAGGAAGAGAAGGGGGCAGAAGATAAGGGCCAAAAGGAGGACAAGGGGAAGGGGGGTAAACGGGAGGAAGGGGAGGGGAATAGCAAGGGGGAGGGTGAAGGGGAGAAGCAGGCAGCAGCGTCAGCAGCGGCATCAGATCCAACAGGTCCTTCAGGGCCGCTGGCTCTGCCTGTGAGGCTGGCAGTGACGGCGGCTCCCTGGGTCAACACATCCATTGGCCAACGACCCGGGTACACCTTGCTTGCTCTGGTTCCTACCTCTGTGTGGCAAGCATGAATTGTGTCGATTCTTGAATACTTGTTGGGTTGAAATTCTTGCTAGGCTGGCCTGTCTCAATCTTTTAGTCTGCTTACTTGTGTGTGCATGTGTGGTCTTATGCTCATTGTGATTTCTTTCTTATGTGTATGTGTGCGGGGGCTGTGTGTGTGGGGGGGAGGAAAGAGGGAGGGGGGTTGCATGCGTGTGTGTTTGTTGTGGGTGTATGTCTGTGTGTGAGAGCGTGTGCATGTGTACCTGTGTGCATGTGTGTGTGTGTGCATGTGTGTGGTGCCGTTTCACAGGCATGCAGGCCCAATCATTCAGCTCATGTTTGACATCAGGGGCAGAGCAACCACCAGTGCGCCACTGCAGGTATGCACCCTCACTCTCAACCACTGCACGTGTGCACCCTCACTCTCAACCACTGCACGTGTGCACCCTCACTCTCAACCACTGCACGTGTGCACCCTCACTCTCAACCACTGCACGTGTGCACCCTCACTCTCAACCACTGCACGTGTGCACCCTCACTCTCAACCATTGCACGTGTGCACACCTCTCACTCTGCACATCTCTCACTTCCCCCTCTCATTCCCCCTCCCTTCCCCCCTCTCCCTCCCCCCTTCCGTCCCCACCCATGGCAGGCGAAGCTAGAAAAGCTGCCAGAGTGGCAGGTGTTTGCCCAGGCAGGGGGGCAGCTGGACGAGCTGCTTTCACAGCAGCACGGTGCTCTGTGTGGGCCCAAGCCAGTGGTGCCGGGCAGTGATGTGCCTGACATGGGTGCAGGCAGTGGCGGGCAAAGCATGCTGTTTGGGGAGCCCGACCTGCCGCCCTCTGTGCTTGGGAAACTGAGGGCCATCTATCTACAGTGAACATAAGGTGTGGTAAACCGTGTGGTTAATAGGTAAGTATGCTTTGTGCCGCAACTTGGGCTGCCAAGCACTTTTTTAATGAGTCTGAAACGAGTGTGAAGCGGTTTCTTGAGTTCTGCGGATAGTATTTGTGAAATGCCGTGTGCTTTGTGAGAGATTGGATTTGTATCTCGTGTGAAGAATGGTTTACACAATCGAACACTGTATACGCGGAATAGTCTTAACGTGATGCACGTCCACTGTGGATGCAACTCTTGCACTTTGTCTCCGCTTGACTAGCTTGACGAATGCTGCTTCTGATCTGACCTGGCAGCGCACATCCGTCCGTATGACCCCAGTGGCCCACCTCCTCCTTCACGAGCGACTCGAGGGAAAACCGAATGTGTTGTGCGTCAATTGTTGACGGAGCAGTGCCAACGGGAAACAAACAAAGCTGGGAACGGCAATTTGCTCGTCAGTGATCGCTTGCAAACAACGCGACTTTCTCGCGAAAGACCCCGAGCTGAGCGGGAAGACTTTTGTGCAAATGCAGGACTGCTGTTACCTTTTCCTGCACGAGCGACCATCCACCCACGGACAAGACAGCAGACATAGAATAATAGCTGTGTGAATATTTGCTTGATTACTGTGGCCCTGTGCCTCTCCCCGCATCATGCGTTAGTTTCCACTACGCGCGTCCGCCATGGATTTCCACCTTGAGACAACAGATAGCCAGCAAATTCTCGGAAGCAGCGTTTTGCTCTCACGCGCTGCTTCCGAGCCCTGTTCTTCCGCCAGATATCGCGCCGAGGATCCCGGTGGACCGCCGTATAAAACTCGCCGTATCCGCTCAGGAGCAATAGCACCAGCAGCCGACAGTCCCATGGCGGCAGCGTCAGTGGCGGCGCCGCAAGAGCCGGCGGTGATGGCGGTCCGAATCAACCGGCCGGACCTGCAGTCTTTGACGGACGTCGTTAACGCTGACGACCACGCGTGGCTGAAGTACGGCGAGAAGCGCATTAGCAAGAACACTGTCATGAGGTACCTTACATGCTTATGCTTATGCTTATGCTTATGCTTATGCTTTTGCTTATGCTTTTGCTTATGCTTTTGCTTATGCTTATGCTTATGCTTATGCTTATGCTTATGCTTTTGCTTATGCTTATGCTTATGCTTATGCTGATGCTGATGCTGATGCTGATGCTGATGCTGCTGCTGCTGCTTGTCCGCTCAACAATCTCGATGACCCCTGCCCCTCGCGTTCTTCTCCCCCCATGCCCACTGCCGCTACATCCCGCTATACCATTCTCTTCTGATCTTACTGAATCTTCAACTAATCTTATACTAATCGATCCTTTGCTGTCTCGCGTCGATTCCACCAGGTCTTATTACAAGTGTTCGTGGTCGCGAGCTCGCAACCCGTGTCGCGCCACCAAGACCGTCGATTTCGACCCCAAGCGCCCGCAGCTCACGGTGGTTCGCGCGCGCTGCGCGCACAACCACGAGGCCGGCGCCTCCTGCCCTCGCCCCGCCGCCGCCCGTCGGGTTCCCCCGCCCCTAGAAATCTCCCGCGCCTCCCCTTCCGCCCTCCGCGCCAGATTCTCCGCCAACGTAGCGAGGGAAACTCGCGGCGCTGCTGCTGGCGAAAACTGTTCGCCGGTTTCGCAGCAGTTCGCCAGCACTGGCAGTCAACCGGCGACCCGAAGTTTGTGGTCGCCCATATCAATTGACGATTCGCCCATTGGACCGTTAGACGCGGCGCTAAGCGCGGCGATGTCGCTCCGCAGCAGCCCCGCGTCCAGCCCTCTCGCGAGCCCTCTCAGCGTGGGCGCACCCTGCGACGCATGCGACAGGGCGAGTGCCAGATCGAGCGACAGTGCGAGCGACAGGGCGAGCGAGAGGGCGAGCACGGCTGCCTACATGGTGATGGGGCTTGGCGAGAGTGAAGCACTGCGGGGGAATGTGGAGGAGGAGAGCCGGCACGTCACAGACATGGCGATGACAGGAGGGGCGGCACGCGCTGGCTCCACTCACACGAGTGCCGGCGCTGCTATCTGTGGCGCCGGTGCTGCTGCCTGCTTCCCTGTGCTCGCCGCGATGCTCCCTGCTGCAGAGAACGCCACGGAGAACATCGCAGCGACTGCTGATCCGTGGAGTGGCAACAACAGGGTGGCAGTGAGCGCGCGAGTATCGGAGCTGCATACAACGAGGATGGGCAGTCTAGTTCGAGCAGACGGCTTGGCGTGGGGCGGCCACGGAGGAGAGCAGGGGGGCGTGCGGGAACATGCAGACGGTGCTGCCCCCGCTGCTGCTGCTGCCATGGCTGCCGGTCCAGCCCGTGCCCGCATCAGTGCATGTGCTCAAGGAACTTTTCTCATGAGCCGGCGCTGCTGCAAGCAGGAGGAGCAGGGGGAGGATGAGAAAGGGGAGGGGGAGCACCTGTCGCTGGACCTCTCACTCAGCGCCCCTGGGACGTGTCAGGGCCAAGAGACGGTCGGGCGTGCTGCATGCGCGAGGGACATCAAGGCATGGGGGAGAGAGGAGCCTGTGGCTGGCACTACCGGACAAGCGGCCCTTGTGCAGCCATTGCCTGCAACGCAAGCAGCACCACCGCAACCACCAGCAGCGACAGCAACAGCAGCAGCAGCAGCTGGTGCTACTGCAGCGGAAGCAAAAGCGGCATTCTTGCCAGGGCCATTGCTTGGGACCACAGGGAGCTGCTTTGCCTCACAAGCTGTCCCCAGCCTTGTGGCAAGCCCACATGACCTCTGCCTACCGCCCCTGACTGCCGCCACTGGTGCTGGTCCTATGGAGGAGTGCCTTGCTGCGCCGCCACCCCTGCCGCCGCCACTGCTGCACCAGCAGCTGCAGCTTCCACCACGACAGCCGTGTCCGCTACCTCAGCCGTGTCAGCCGCAGAGTCAAGGCCAACAGCAGATGTGTTTGGGGAGACAGCGAGATGTTGGTATGGTAGATAGTAGAGCGTGCGTGGTGCTGGCAGCTCTTCTGCTCCAAGCTGCTGCTAGCCACAGGCAGCCACTGAGGTGACCTCTGCTGTCACCACCTGTGTCTGGTAATTCGGACACGGATGTAAAGTCTTCATCATCATTATTACCTATGGTTCGCATGTATGAATTTATTCCATGATCCCCAAGCTACGGGTAAATCATCTTACTTTTATGTGAAGATGTTTTGTTCTAGAACCCGCAACCATGCTGCCTCCAGTATATCGAGATGCGTTTAAACTCAAAACTGAATTGGGGTGGACTTTGTTCGCAACAAATGCAATCAGCTCAGCACGATTCCCGTTCAGCAATCCGAGGCCGGCAGAATGGCCGCGTGGCACCGAGGCGCCACGCGCTCCGACCAGCGGCCACGTGTCGACCCCGAGGAGTGCATGCGTGCGTGGCGGTCGTTTCTCGCGGCGCTCGGCGCGCCGAGCAGCCTAATGCATCACGACTCGCAAATCAGGCGAGTTTTGTCTCCACCCTCGCGCATAGTAATCAGGCACCACATAGTAATCTCTCTCTTACACCTTCGCGCGCTCCCTTCCTTCCGCTTCCACCCTTCCAATCCCTTCCTTCCTCTCCCCTCCTTCCGCTCCCCTCCTTCCGCTCCCGTCCTTCCCCTTCCCTGCTACCACTACCCGCCTTCCGCGCCCGTCGTTGCGCTCCTCACCTCCGCCCCGCTTAGCTTCTCAGCTCCCGCCCCACCTCCCCCTTCCCCTGTCCGTGCCCTCCCCGTATTCTTCCAGTGGATCGTTCCGCCCTTTCCTCCGCCCGTTTGCGCTTGGCGCGCTGATGGGCTCCCTGCTCGTCACCATCTCGCTTCTCTCCGCCAATCCCCCCCGCGCTGACCCCTCCGCGGCTGTAGCTTCCGCCAGTGGAGTGGGGGGCGCGGGGACGTTGGGGGTAGCGGGCGCAAGGGGGGATGCAGAAAGTGGCGCAAGCTACACGGGACGCCGGGAAGGGGAGTTGTTTTTGCGCGGTGATGTAACGAGCGGTGTGGTAACCAGCAATGTGGTAACCATGTCATCGTCAGGAGGGGCTCTAGATGCAGTTGATTCTCTGCAGGGCCTGTCGGAGGGGTTCGGCTTGGCACTGACGGACCTGGAGCAGAGGTACGGAACTGCAGCAAAGGTTTGGTTTAGAAACACGCACCTAAGAGTCAGTACAGTGTTTAGGGTGAAGCGAGGGGGATTGAGGGGTTGTGGTAAGTGGGTTTTCGAGAGGAGGGAGTGACAATGGTGGGTGTGGCGAGGGTCTAGGCAGGATTGACTGCAAGCAAGCACATGCATGCGCCTATCCTTTCTCATTCTATCCTTCCTCTCTTCCCCCCACCTCCCCCTCCCCCCAACACGCCATCAACGCCTGTACAGAATGGTTCATTGCGGTTTGAATGTTTCCCCCTCTGCCCGTGCTGCATCTCCCTTGCGCACACGTCTTCCTGACCCCAACACCCCCAGGGACCCCACGCGCCTGGCGCTCCAGCTCAGCAACCGCCAGCTGGCAGCGCTGATCGCTGACGTGGCGCAATGGCGGGCGAGGAGCGGTGCCAGCATGGACCGCGTGCTGAGCGCGGCCAGGGAGGTGGGGGGTGTTGGGGGCGAGGGGCGGCCAGGGAGGTGGGTGCGGGTTGGGGTAGGGGATGAGAAAGAAAATGCGCTTTTTCGGTGTCTCAACAAAACCAGACTTGTTTAGCCAGGAAGTGCATGTGGGGCGAGGGGCAACGGGGACGTGCGTGGGGGAGTATGGGGTGGGGGAGTGTGGGGTGGGGGAGTGTGGGGCTTCTCGTTTCATTGGAGGGTGATGTTCTTTCCTCTTGTCTCGATTTGCCTCTCCCCTCTCCGCCTCCTCTCTCGTCCTCTCCCCTCTCTCCGCCTCCTCTCTCGTCCTCTCCCCTCTCTCTTCTTCTCAACAGGAGCTCCGCACCCTCCTTGCTTCTCCGCCCTCCGCCATCCAACTCGTTCCGCCCTCCTCGCTCCCCCTCCTCCTCTCCTTCCTCCGTCCCCCCAACACCTC